TTTTCCTGCCTATCCTAGATGGCCATGTGCCTCTCTGCCTCCCCCTCTGTAAAACCTTGGTGACAATTCCTACTCAACAAGGTATCTTCTGGCACAACCTGTTGCCCTCTTCCCACTACAGGGGCCGCCATTCCGCCTTCAGAATGCCGGAGGGCCCAGAGCTGCACCTCGCCAGCTGCTTTGTAAATGAGACATGTAAGGGGCTGGTATTTGGCGGGTGTGTGGAGAAGTCCTCTGTCAGCCGCAACCCCGAGGTGCCCTTTGAGAGCAGTGCCTACCACATCTCAGCTGTAGCCCGAGGCAAGGAGCTGCGCCTGACCTTGAGCCCCCTGCCTGGTGCCCAGCCCCCTCAGAAGCCGCTGTCCCTTGTCTTCCGCTTCGGTATGTCTGGATCCTTCCAGCTGGCACCTGCAGATGCACTGCCGCCCCATGCCCATCTACGCTTTTACACGGCCCCACCTGCCCCACGGCTTGCCCTCTGTTTCGAGGACATCCGCCGTTTTGGCCACTGGGATCCTGAGGGTGAATGGCAGCCAGGCCGTGGACCCTGTGTCTTGCTGGAGTATGAACGGTTCAGGTAGGACTATGTATTCTAGAATACCATTCAGGCACCCGAGAGACAAATCCTAGCCCCGAATGAGCCTGTCTCCTGTCTATGGATTGAGATGGTGTCAGGGCAGGCCAAAGGAAGGACAGCCAAAGGTCTGAGGACACAGAGACAGCATTAGAGTTGGACTGGGGCCCAGCATCCCACCTTGCTTCCCGGTAGCTCCAGGCCATCAAGGAAGGTGGAGGGCTTTCAAAGCACCCTAAGAAACGACCTACACAGTGGGGAGAGGGTGGTCTAGTGACTGTTAGTCAGGTTTTGGTGGTCCTCACAGTCTGCCTGGGGGGCTTCCTCTGATTGTCCCTGTTTTCAGACTTTCCTCTAAACAGGCAATAAGAGTCTTTACTCCAAAACAGGCCCTGTAGGGTATAGCAGTGGGCAGGGTAAATGTGTCCCTTTGTCCATGGCACTGATATGCAGTTAAGGCATGGGGCCAGGACACCACAAAATAAATTCACAGACCTTTAGCCAAGTGTGGGGAGCATGTCAGGAACGGCCACTCACGGGAAGTGATCTTTGAACTGAGATCTGGCTGGTGGAGGTGGAGCCAACTATGTAAACTCCAGGAGAGTCTTGGCAGGAAATGAAG